TTGTACCTCGACTGAACTGATTACCACAGCCCTTGTTTTTTTGACACCACTCAACACTTCTTTATCTCTTCGGGGATACTTTTGAAGTCTTTCTTGGTTGTGATACGGGGAAGCCTAAAGGTGATCTACATCACAAGATACCTCATACATTGTGCTTCTTTCTCACCAGAGTATATTCTCTGTGTATGGTTGCGTTCTAGTACTCGTTGCGCTTCTACCTGACAACTCGCGAGCTTTTCTTGTTCATTGTCCACACTCAGCACCGCCCAAATATTATCTAGTAAAATTACAAAGTCATGAGTTTTTGATTTTCGTGTACATATTCATGGCCGACCTGAAGTTACGGAAAGCCCCACAGCTCAGTTTCTTACCACCCTACCCGTCGGACGCTTGAAAGCAAATCCACAGGCGCTCCATCAAGCCCTGATTCACCGCATTTGAGTATGAGATCTCATCAAGCGTATTTCTTAGTTGCCCTCCTGGCCTTTGCAGGCAGTCCCACCGCTGTCTCTCAAGAATGTCCGCGGCTTAACCTCAAAGCCCAAGTACGGCCGACTGCGAAGCGCGGAATCCTGGCTGGTAAGGGCAAGGGCATGATTACTGTCAAGCTCAATAGCAAAGATCCCGTCGACGATGTGGAGTTCCAACTGAATTTGCCCAATGGCTTATCGGTAGAGCGAGCAGTGATGCGTCCGTCCACAAAGCCCTTTACGCCCCCACAAATTGTTCAGAATCCGGATGGAACGACTGCTATTTACTGGCTCGGCATCGATTTTACCAAACCTAAGGGGGGAAAACGACGCTTTCGCGTCAAGGTAAAGGCTGACGAGTGTGCTCCAGAGACGTTGACAATAGATGCTTTCGCTTATCTAGTGAATGCTACAGCGGCCTCGTGCATCACGTCGACCAACTCCGCAATACTAAGCGTGCGATACCCAAAACACAAAAATGCGGCGACTTGCGCGCCGACACCCGCTCCCTCTGTCAATCCTGCGCAGCCTTTCGTGCTCTTTCGTGAGGGGCAGCGATGCTCCGAGGCGGGGCGCCTGGCCCCTTTCGAGGACCGTCGTCTGTCGCTGTCCTCGGGACATGGAGGAGACGGCCCAGCTCAGCGACATTCTGGAGATCGAGACCTGCAATCCATCGATAGCCCGGAGGCTTGCTACGCCTATTGCTCGCTGAACGCGGGAGAAGAAACGCCCTTCTTCTTCAACTGGAATACCGCAACAAGTCAATGCTTCTGCTGCGGCTCAGTGTGCACGCCCTTCATCTTCGATCCGGATTACAATGTATACGAGGTTCTCTTGCCCACGACTCCAGTGCCTACGGCTGTGCCTACCAGCGCTGTAGTCCCAACGCCCGCTCCATCCGTTACTGGATGCGAGCCATTTATCCCTGACCCAGAAGAGGGATTCACATCTTATTTGTGCGGCGCCTATAGAGCCTGTATCGGGGTTCTAGTTGCGATGGAGGGAATTCCAGATTTCACGAACTGCGCGCTAACGTGCAAACGATTGGGAGCGTTTTCCCTCTCAACTTACAATAGTTTGACTGAAAGCTGTCGTTGTAGCTTCACGGACGGTCCCAATGTTATGACTCCCTCTGAAAACGACATTCTTGTCGCACTCGAACCTGAATTCAACCCTCCTGCTGTTTTGGAGGAGTGTCCAGAAGTCCGACCATAAGGGAGGTCGTCATCGAAGCAGATGACCAAGTAAGCCGATGGTCATGCGACGTAATTCCGTCTCTGTCATTGGTGCTACTTACCAACTAAGAGAATACAACTTTCCGCCTCGAATTCCTTGAAACATACGTACATGTCATTTAAATTGCTATCCCCCCTCTGCCCTTTGAGAAATTCTGAGAATCGTCATGGACAAGGATCAAAGAGTAGGACCTTTCAAGCACTTCTCACGGAAAGGTGATGCTACCGACAAAATATTTGGGGATACTGGATCAGTAGCAAGAAGAAGGGAGTGGGCCCTTCTATGCCTCCGAGAGATACACTGATATTATTATTACACTATACAAAGATCCTGACTAAGCAAGAAAAAGTCATAGGCTTCTTATGTGCGTTATGGGGAGAAACTAATGTAACAACTCGAATCCTTCTAGTATTCTAATGAGATTACAAAGAAGCAAGAATGTTTATCGTTTTCCCTGTTGAAGTACTAAAAATAGAGGATATTCTAGACCCTCAGCATGAAGACGATTTCAGGTGGGGATACGATCGCCTTTCCCAAAGGTGGTCCCAGGCGAAGGAACGTGCTGGACTAAGGTTAGGGCCAGGGTTAGCATGCATCCACGGAAGGCAAAAAAATGTCGCCTGTTGGTTCAACGGCTGCTCATGATATTTGTCCCTTAGGCGCGTAGCTACCCAGGGCTGTTGTTACCGCCCCAAAGGAGGGCTCCGGAAAGGCGAAGACTGAGGATATTTGGTGCACGCACATCTTTTCGTCTGAGCAGTGTTCCGAGCCATCAAAGTCCGCGCTGCTCTCAACGACTTTTGCGAGGATCTGCCAGCGAGACCTGGAAGGGTTGGAATAAGGGTTCCTCTTCCTTCTTGTCTGACACCTTCCTTCTTTTCCGTCGTCTTCCTCTTGTCCGTTCTGAGGGGTCCACCGAGGCGCGCGCGGAGCCTGCCTCCTCCTCCTCGGAAGAACCAGTCTTCAGGAGAGTCCCTTGTCCTTTCCCCTGCCACGTCCATGCATTCCCTCTTTTTCGCGGCATCCTCAAGCCGATCTTCTTCGCGCTCTATCGAATTGACAGACATCTCTGCCAGTCCTTTGGGCTGTATTTCGAGGAGGCCTAACCCTTCTTTCACCGCATGTTTGATGCCCGCGCATCTACGTGTACATGTGCATGTACCAAGGTCGTTGCTAATGTGAGGGTTCTCTGATGCTGCCCTTGGG